GTTTCTTTGGTTTCACAGGCATAAAGGCCCCTGCCTTACAGCAGCACACACTGTCAATGGTACAGCAGCTTCCCAATAAACCTTCAGAGGCAGAAAAAGTACTTGGTCCCTAGGGGTACCCATGAGCACAAAAGGGTTAAATCTCATATCCTCCCGTTTTTAAATCTAGTCCAAACAATTATATGCTTTCAAGTAAAGTGAAACTTTCTCAAACCAACCATTCTACACTCGCCTAAGGTAAACCACTCTTCAGCATTCCTGATGATCCCCTGAGGGTCCGGATTGACAAGGACAAGTCGTACAGACAGAAAGTATTTAAAACAGGATCTCATTATAGTACTTAGTACTACAAGTATTCAGATAATGATTCTTTTTGGACTTTCATCCTTTCTAGCCAGTCAGACCAGACAAAGCAGTATAACATCCCAATTTTAGAGCACTGGCTCTAGTGATACAGTAGTTAAAGTGTTCGGCTGCTAACCCAAAGGTCTGCAGTTCTAACCCTCAGCTGCTCTGCGAGAGAAAGATGTGACAGTCTGCTTTCCTAGACTTGGAAACCCTATGGGCCAGTTCTACCTTGTCCTATAGGGTCACTATGAGAATCAACTTGACAGCAACGGGTTTGCTTTTTCTGGTTTAGCAATGTCATGAAAAATGCGAGAATAACACCAAGAGGAGAAAATGGCAGGAATGAAGTCCTAATTCATGCTACTACATGCTTGAACTTTGAAAAATTATGTTAAGTGAAAGAAGCCAGTCACAAAGGACCACATATAATATGATTCCATCTATATGAAATATCCAGAATAGGCAAAGTATAGAGACAGAAAGTAGATTAGTGGTTGCAAGGCGCTGGAATGGAGGAGGGGGAAGAGGAGTGACTGTTAATGGTTATGTGGTTTCTTTTGGGGGTGACAGACATACTCTAAAATTAGACTTTGGTCTGGCTGTACAACTTTGTAAATATACTAAAAGCCATTGACTTGTATCTTCTAAATGGGTAAATATTTCAATAAAGCTGTAAGAAAGAAAAAAAAGTAGAAGTTGGTGACATTTATTTCATCAGGGAAAAAACCATTGGTGACTTAGTTACACATATACTGGCACAATCATTTCATAAGCTGCGCTTCAGCCTTAGGGGCAGTGAATGAGAATTAAGAGTTCATTTTAGTAAATATTTTATGGATATGAGTGTGAAACCAAGATAAAAGCTCTTCTAAAAAGGTTCCTCAACGATTTCTCTCCCCTCAGGATTTTTAACAACATGAATATAGGAAAACATCGATCTGATCAAGGCCAAAATGCCACTGCCAACCAAAATGCCACTACCATCAGGTGGAATTCTTTATAATGGCTGCTACTACAAAACATTTCTGAAGTCATTATAGGCATAGCATAGAGAAAACTTAATCAGATAATCTTAGGAAAAAACGACAACTTCAAAACTGTAGATTCTGTATCTATAAAATAAAGGACTGGACTCAATCACAGGAGCTGTGGTGGTGCGGTGGTTAAGAGCTACAGCGTGCTACGGCTGCTAACCAGCCACTCTTGGAAACCCTACGGAGCAGTTTTACTCTGCCCAGTACGGCTGCGAAGAGAAGCAACTCGATAGCAATGGGTTTGGCTTCCTGGACTAACTCAGACACCCTCAATCAGAGATATGCATCAAACTCACCGGTGGAGCATTCTAAACACTAGCTAGGACTTCTCCCCAACTTACTTGGCTATCTCCCATGTTTTAAAAACACTCTATATAAATTTTTACATGCCTTTCTAAGAACCCGTGATAATAGTCCCCTCTTCAAGGTTCTTCTTAGATCCCCACCCCCGAAAAAAAATCGTTTATGTAATCTAATCACAGTTAAAGTGTACCAACCAACACCACCACTGTTATCCAGGAAAGCATCTTGGAAATGAAATTAATTTCAAAGATAATCTTACCATTTTTTGCAGCTCTTCTGCTCCTTCCTGAATTCTTTCACGATCATTGCTATCTACCACAAAAATAAGACCCTGGGGGGAAATTGTTTCAATTAATTACAACAGTTAAATTTAAAGGACTCACTAACTATGAAACCGAAGTATAGGCACAAAACCACATCAAGGGCTAGAAGTTAGGAAAAAATGTCTCATACAAAAAAGAATGAACTCAAGGCTCTAAAAACTGAAAACTGATTCAAGTACTATTTGTCACTTTAACTTATTAATGTTACTTCAAATGTACAAAATATCCTGCTCCTACCCAACTGATCACTCTTCTCAACTATGCGACAGAATCAATGTTATCATTTTCCCTAGTACATTCAAAGTGCAGCAAAGTGTAAGTAGCAAAACGGCCACAAGGTGGGGACAAAAGAAAAAAACTAAAGCTCCTAATGAATCATGAACTTACTAACTGAATAAGCATGTTCACCCGAAGACACGCAAAGAGTGTAAATAAAATTAAAAAGGAAAGGGAGGGAGGTTACAGTAGTTTTTACATGCTTATCAGGCAAGGAAGAGACAGCCTTGCTCCAGACTGTTGCCTGCCCACTCTAGAATCAGAGGAAGAAGGTCTTAAGCAAAATATATCAAGAAAAATTCAAAGTTCATTTGATCACATAACAAATTTTTAACAAAAAGAAGAACAGTTAATAATTCTTAAAGATATTCAAACATTCTACACTACAAAAGACATGATCCTGGGAAGCGATTAGGTTGAATTAAGACTTTTCTAAAAACTCTGAAATGGGAAAGTATAAAGGTTTCAGCTAGAGAGGGCAATTTCATTTTATAAGCTTTGTTAAAAATCTAATCCTATAATATTAAAACTGATTAAATATTCTCCTCCACACAACCCTAAACCCCTAAAGTATTGTTGATCATTTGTCGCTCTATCACAAACTGTCTTGTGCTATAACTTATATGTATATAAGTAACTATATTAAATCTACTGAGGGCAAAAAACTATCCTACAGTATTTTCTATTTACCTCTCAGCACTACCACACAGTACTGGTTTTGCCAGGGACACTTCATACTTATTTTAGGCTACAGTCATGAAATGATATTAATTTCCTTTAGTCTAGGCAAACTTCATATCCATTTCCTTTATCTCCATGGAAACCATCACTTGAAACATCCTAGCCTTTGAGAAAACTTTTGGTGCTGTGAGAGCCAAAGTGTGTAGTGGTAACTCGAATCTCAGCAGTACTTACTAGTTTTATAAATTACCTAATCCTTGAACCTGTCTCCTCTTCTATGAAATAAAAATAATGCCATAACCTTATAATCCTGTTACAGGATTAAATGCAATCATGGAGGATCTAGCACCATGTCTGGCATACCGCAGCCATTTAGTAAACGTTACGTCTCTTCCTTTCCCAAAGTTCTTTATACAACCTACCTCCTAGAAGGAGCAATGACTCCTCAATTTTATCTTGGCTTGTAACATTCCATTTTTATTCTGCTTTAAAATATAATTCCCACCATCCGTCCCAAAGTAATATTGCGGGGAGAAATTTTAGGAATAAATTCCAAATTATTCTCTTCCTAGGACAGCCAGAATCAAGGGAGTAAAAAGCCAGGATTCTAGAGAAAAGTCAGCTACTATAAGAAAAAAAATTATTTAAAAGGCCAAACATTTACTTATGTAGAACAGCAAAATAACTGGCATTATCTAAGGAGGGAGAGGAATTTACTACTAGAAACTGTCTCCTGGACTGTACACATGAATGAGAAACGTAGCATTGGCTATAATTAGTTTCTTTTAAATTTCACAGCTAGAACTGATCAGAAAGCAGGAAAAGGTAGCTCAGAGCCTATCTGAGTTCTACCAGGTTACAATGCTTTCCCCTGAGGGCATGGGCTCTAGGGAACAAATACTTGGGCTTCTAAGGTAGGCCAGAAGGCCAAGGAAGGAGTCTAATCTCAAGAACCTAAAGTAAATTATTAAGCATCCTAAACAAGACTAGGGATAAGACCAGGGTTGCCTTTTACAAAGTTTAGGATTAACAAGGTTTTACTTCATATCTAACTTTACTTCAAAAGCATACTCCTTATATTTACTTAAAAATAATCCAGGGAGTGCGGCGCTTTAGAGAAGAGTATAGATTAAACAGTATTGGCCTGAATTTGGTTATTAACTATATGGGACTTCACTAAGGTATTCTCTTTACTTTTGTGAATGTCTGAAAATTTCCACAATAAAGTTTAAGCATATGACTGTACATCGAAATATCTTTTCTAAACACAGCAATGTTAATAAACAGAAAACATTTTAGTTTTTAAATAAAAAAGCATGCCACTTATTTTATACGACACACTTCTTACAGGTTCCAGCTACTCCCCTGTGGTACTCACTGCCACCTGAATACCTCACTTGAAGGGGCCCTGGTGGGTCAGTGGCCAAAATGCTTGGATGCTAACTGAAAGGTCAGCGATTCAAACCTACCAGCTGCTTTACAGGAAAGATGCGACAGCCTGCTCCCGTAAAGATTTACACAGCTTTAGAAACGCTATGGGGCAGTTCTACTCTGTCCTATATGGTTGCTATGAGTCGGAACTGACTTGATGGCAGTGGGTTATCATACCTCACTTGAGTCCTGGTGGCACAATCGTTAAGCACCCGGCTGCTAACTGAAAGGTCACAGTTCAAACTCTCCAGTGGCTCTGTGGGAGTAAAGACCTGGCGATCTGCTCCAGTAAAAACTACAGCCTAGGAAACCCTATGAGGTAGTTCTACTCTGTCCTATAGGGTTGCTATGACTTAGAATCAACTAGGCACACAACAACATACCTCACTCGTATACAACGGTTTAAGAGTTAAGACACCAAGAGTGGCGTCTAGAAACTTAAACATATAAAGTGCTTCTAATATCACAACTTACTTTGGGGGGAGAAAACACCAACCCTAGTAGTAAATGGAATCTAATGAGAAACCCCTGGTGAAGTGGAAAAGCGTTGAGACCAGGTAGCTAGAAATACAGGTAGAGTAAGAACCAGCTCTTCAGTCTTGGCTCAGTCATTCTAAGCTTTAGTTTCCTCATCTACAAAAGAAGATGGTTACACTAGAGCGGTGGTTCTCAACAGGGAGAACTGTGTGCCCAGGAGATATGTGGCAATGTGTGGAAACATCTTTGGTTGTCCCAACGGGGTGGGGTAGGGTGGGGGCTGCCACCAGCATCTGAAGAGTCCGTCCACAACAAAGAATTATCCAGCCCAAAATGTCCACAGTGCTGCTAACTGAAAAACCCTGGACTAGAGCCCTGATATTCAAATAAGGTTCCCAAACCAGCAGCATGCGCACCACCTGAGAACTTGCTAGAAATGCAGAATCTCAGGCCTTACCCAGGACCTACTGAATCAGAATCTGTAGTGTAACGAGATACTCAGGTGATTATATGCACTACTGATGTCTGGCTTACATTCGCAGTGGTCTGGGGCTATGATCTGGGCTTTGGGACTTTTAAAGCCCTCCAGGTGATTCTAATAGGCCGCCAAGTTCGGTAACCTCTGCTCTACGGAATCACTACAGTCTCTTCCATGCCTATATTATCTATGTTGTGTTAGCTGCCATCAAGTCAGCCCCTGACTTGTGGTGACTCTGTGCACATCACGGTCCAACTGTGATCATCCTACAGTCTTCACCGGCTGGTTTTTTGGAACTAGATCACCAGACCTTTCTCCTAGTCTGTCTTAGACTGGAAGCTCTGCTGAAACCTGTTCAGCATCACAGCAACATGCAAGCCTCCACTGATAGACAGGTGGTAGCTGCGCTTGAGGTGCACTGGCCAGGAATCAAACTAGGTATTGTATATACTACATGGCAATACAAGATGTCTCACAAATCAACAAAACAGATCTACTTTAATGTATTTTTTTCTTGATATATTTTTAATATAGTAAAAACCTAAATGGGCTAACTGAAGGACTATCAATCATCTTATGTTCACTAACCTATAGCGACAGAAATTTATACAGACCTTACTTTCTGAACTAAGAATGAAACCATCTGAAATAGTGATGAAACCTAATTCAGTCTTGAAAACCACCCCACTACCGCCCCTACCCTCCACCCAAAATCTTACTGTGATCACCATGTGAGTCTTTCACTCCAGATACTTTAGCCTTCAAAGCCATGGTGAGTCCACGGAAGAATATGGAAGTAGTGATAAGAATGCAAACTCATATACAGTGAACTCCAACACCCAAGTAAACACTATACATATATGTGTGTGTGTGTATATATATATATACACACTGTAAACTTTAGAGCATAAAACATAAAGTTATAAAAATGTATAGCATTCCTTACCTGGGTATTTTGGAAGTAATGCCTCCAGAGAGGCCTAATTTTATCTTGACCACCAACATCCCACACTGTGAAACAAATGTTCTTGTACTCTACTGTTTCCACATTAAAACCTTCAAAGAAAAAATTAAAAAATGACCACTCTGCACTATAAAATGTCATTAAGAAAATAAAACCCTTTATTGTGAAATTCTCTTACAGTTGGTTTTTTAAAGTCCTACTGGATATTTAACAAATTAAAAAATAAGAGTTTCCCGAAGGTTGAGAAGGGGAGAGTGTTGACATATCACATGGCTGGCAACCGATGTCACAGAACAATATGTGTATTAATTGTTTAATGAGAAAATAATTTGCTCTGTAAACCTTCATCTAAAGCACAATTAAAAACAGGAAAAAAAATTTCAAAAAGTATGTTTTATCAAAATAAAACTCTATTTTATATTACTTTATATTATTATGACATAAATTAAATTTGCCAACTTTCTTACCAATAGTAGGAATGGTGGTGACTATCTCTCCTAACTTCAGTTTATACAGAATGGTCGTCTTGCCAGCAGCATCCAATCCAACTAGGAGAAAACGATAACATTTTAGATTTTAAATCTAGACTGAAAGTACACACCAAGAAATAATTTTACAACAAATTTATAGTTTGAAAGTAAAAGCTGACTGCAAGAAAGGGCCACATAAACCAGAGACTTCATCAGCCTGAGACCAGAAGAACTAGATGGTGTCCAGCTACCACCAATGACCACCCTGACAGGGAACATAACAGAGAGTCATCGACGGAGCAGGAGAAAAGTGGGATGCAGAACTCAAATTCTAGTAAAAATATCAGACTTGATGATTTAACTGAGACTGGAGGAACCCCAGAAGACATGGCCTCCAGACTCTCTGTTAACCCAGAACTAAAACCATTCCCGAAGCCAACTCTTCAGACAAAGAACAGACTGGACTATAAGACATAAAATGATACTGGTGAAGAGTATGCTTCTCAGTTCAAGTAGATACACGAGATTAGATTAAGTGGGCAGCTCCTGTCTGGAGGTGAGATGAGAAGGCAGAAACGGAAAGGAGCTGTTTGAATTGACACGGGAAATCCGGGGTGGAAAGGGGGAGTGTGCTGTCACATTATAGGGATACCAGTTAGGGTCACATAACAATGTATGTATAAACTTTTGTTGAGAAACTAACTTGAGCTGTAAACTTTCACCTAACGCACAAAAAAACAAATAAGCGGACTGGATCAGATAATCTAAGATTTCTTCCAACTCAAGTCCTTATTAATTTTACGAACTGCCATTTTTTAAAACACAAATTAGAAAGTGAATCACGAACATAAGAATAAGTGAATAAAGAATTGTCTTACAATTAGCAAACTGTTTCCTTTTATTTACAAAGTTTGGGTAAAAAGGTCTTAATGCTGGGGGCCGGGGGATCATAACCATGCCCTAGTCCCCTTACAATGATGATAAAGGAGGACGAAGCCAATTTTGTTGTTGTTAACTGCCATCAGCCCCCAACTCACGGCGACCCATGCACAATGGGACAAAATGCTGCCCAGTCCTGCGCCAGCAGCTGCTGTGATCCATAGGGTTTTCACCGGCTGATTTTTCTGAAGTAGACTGTCAGGCTGTTCTTCCTAGTCTGTCTTAGTCTGGAAGCTCCACTGAAACCTATTCAGCATCATAGCAACATGGAAGCCTCCACTGACAAATGGATGGTAGCTGTGCACGAGGTGCAAGCCAGTTTTAGACCTATCTAAATCCATTTCAACATCAAATGTAAAGAAACCAGTACAAAAGTCTGGTTAATTTGGGTTGTAAAAATGGCTCTATCATATTTATCTCCAATAAGTAACGATTAGAATCTTAAAATGATTCATTTGAGGCAGATACACAAGTATAGCATAATATGTTTGTGAAAAATTCCACAATAGAACAAAAGGTATATACTTCTTTATGGCAGTGATTAAAAAAAAAAACAGCATTGTGGTGGAGTCAATTTCGACTCACAGCGACTCTACAGGACAGAGGAGAACTGCCCCACAGGGTTTCCAAGGAGTAGCTGGTGGATTCCAACTGCCAACCTTTTGGTTAGCAGCCGAGCTCTTAACTACTGTGCCACCAGGGCTCCTATGGCAGTGATAAAAACCAAAAAAACCAAACCCATTGCCATTGAGTTGATTCCAACTCATGTCAGTGATAGTGAAAAGCAAATTAAATGCTTAAAAAGTATGAATTAAATTTAAAAAATTACGAATCTCTCAAAACCTGCATATTCTACACTGTTTGCTAAAACCTTCAAAAATGAAAAGTATCTAATAACTTCATTAAATGTATCATTGTCTTAGGGACGTCACATTTGACTATCCGGACTTATGCTATCACAGATTTTAAAATCAATTCAACTGACTACTGACTTAAGCAAGGACACTTACTTAATATTTAAATTAAAGCATGTCTTAGCACATGAAACCAACACTATTTTGTTAATAGGAACTGAAATCATCTTATCTAATTTACATTCTATTGCAAATATTTTAACTTTTATCAGCTCCTCCAAAACAGAACTGAAGACTATAAGCAATTAATATTCCTTCCCCCCATATATTAACACTTTCTGCTCTGTACACTACAAAGGATAGCTTTAGGATCCTCCAGAGACTGAAAGTTTCTTAATGACTTCTTATTCCCTGCCCTCTGATCAAACCCTTTTTCCCACTTCTTCATGCTGGGGATCAGACTTATTCTTTCCAAAATACTACTATATTTTACTAGTCAGAGTGAGCAACCCACTCCAAACCCTGATTCACGGACATAAAAAAAACTGTTACTAAAAAAATTTTTAAAAACCTAGAGCTGTCAAGTCGATTGCGACTTACAGCAACCCTACAGGACAGAGCAGAACTGCCCCATCGGATTTCCAAGAAGCAGCTGGTGGATTCAAATTGCCAATCTTTTGGTTAGCAGCCTGAGCCCTTAATCACTGTGCAAGCAGGGCTCCACCAAGTCTTATTCTTTTAGTATGGTATCAAAAAGATCAGAAAACAATTTTTTGAATACAAACAAAATAGTCACCTTAAAGATTGGCATCTTAACTAAAAATACAAAAAACTTGGGAGGGAAAAATCCTGATCTTTTAATTGTTCTACAAAGCTAAGTCTCTTGAAAGCCTAAGATCTCTTCAGGTGATTTTGATCAAATTTTTAAATAAAACAAAATTCACCTTTAAGTAAGTTCCAATATGATTAACCCCAAGTCCACTTAAGAAAGGTTTTGAGAACGTAAGCACCTGCAGGTCAACTGGACCTGACACTACCATTTGAAAACAATGTAAATCCACAAAAGAATGTAAGAAATCCAGGCCAAATATTTTAAGTTGTAGAAAAGTATGTATGGTGCAATCCAATTTTTATTTTAATGAAAGTTTAATACCAGCTTGTATGCATATTCATTACTTTCTTCTACTTCTATATTGTTAGAATTTTTCCCAATATATATTACTTTTATGTAAAAAAAAAAAAAAAAAAAAAAAACAAACTTTCCCAGTTAGTGTTTTTTTTTTATACTAAAATACTAAAATTTATGATATAACCATTCGAAGATCTTAAATATATTTTATATACTACTAATTTTCATTTAAAAAAAGGAAAGTATTTACCAAACAGTCCAAACCATAAAGTTTTTAAGTATCTACCCAAGTTATTTTTAAAATAAAAATTACAAGACAGTTTACTGGCTCACAGTAACAAAAAAGGATTCTAAAATGACAGATATCTTTTGCAGTTGTACCCTAAATACAAGACTGTATAAACGCAAACCAAAAACATGGGGGAAAAAAAAAACATGTCTACAGCGACCTTTATGATGCACCAATTATATGTATACCATCACCACTTAAAACTTGCCAGACAGTTCTTTTCTCAAAACCATGTTAGTCTAACAATTTTGTGCCACCTTAGTTATTTCTTAAAGTATGTATTTTCTTACTGTCACAATATTTGACAACAAGATTTCTCCAGAAAATGAAACTACAGTAAACCTGCGAAAGCTGGAAACTTTTTAAGGCAGTAATCTGTCAGGAGGAAAATGTAAGTATTTCCCTTTAAACCGAGCAAGAGGAAAAGTGGTAAGACTGCACCCTGTCGAAGGCAAAAAAAAAAATTGTGAGACCTGGAAAAACAAGGCAGTCCTACGAGTTCTGGCTCTCACAGGTTTCACTGTATAACCAATTTTCAACTAGCCAAGATAAAACTCTAATCTGTACAGTACAGGAATGTCCTCAGTCCCAACCCCCATAAAAGTCACTGTTCTGACAGAGATACTGGAGTAACTACTTAACCAGACCTGGGCTTTGACCAAAATGTTAACAGGTGTCATCAAGTTGGTTTCAACTCATAGCGACCCTATGTGCAACAGAACGAAACACTGCCCAGTCCTGCACCATCCTCACAATCGTTGCTATTTTTGAGCCCACTGTTGCAGCCACTGTGTCAATCCATCTTGTTGAGGGTCTTCCTCTTTTTTACTGACCCTCTACTTTATTAAGCATGATGTCCTCCTCCAGGGACTGGTCCCTCCTGACAACACATCCAAACTATGTGAGAGGAAGTCTCTCCATCTTCACTTCCAAGAAGCATCCTGGTTGTACTTCTTCCAAGACAGATTTGTTCATTCTTCTGGCAGTTCATAGTATATTCCATATTCTTCGCCACCACAATCCAAATGCATCAATTCTTCTTCGGTCTTCCTTAACTCATTGTTCAGCTTTCACATGCATATGAGGCGACTGAAAATACCATGGCTTGGGCCAGGTGCATCTTAATCCTCAAGGTGACATCTTTGCTTTTTAACACTTTAAAGAGGTCTTTTGCAGCAAATCTGCCCAATGCAGTATGTCCTTTGATTTCTTGACTGCTGCTCCCATGGGTGTTGATTGGGGATCCAAGTAAAATGAAATTCTTGCATAAGTGTTAACGTGACCAAAGTGTTCACGACAGCAAAACTACTAATAAAAATCTTTGCCAATCATTAAAAAGTATGGCTACCAAATTATGGCAGCAAGAAATATGTGAATGATGATAGATTCCAATTATCTTAACTGTGAGGGAAAAAAATGCAGAAAGGAAAAAATCTGAAAACATATTTTCAGAAGGGTAAAATTATAGATTTTTCTTCATGTTTTTCTCTCTCAAATTGTTTACAAGAAATTTGAATCATACCTTCACAATAATTTTAAAAAAATTTAAAATTGACTGCTTACTGTGTTCAAAGCACAATACTAAGTGATTCCATACATTTTTATTATTTTAATCCTCATAGTTATCCTATTTTTTCAGACTAGGCATCTGAAGTCCAGAAATGTCCCCAGAACCACAGCCAGTAAGTGGTAGTTAGAACAGGAATTCAAAGACCCATGTCTTGTGGAGAAACTGGAACTCTCATATATTGCTGGTAGGGATGTCAAATGGTACAGCTGCTTTGGGAAACTGTTGGTTCCTCAAAATGTCTCCTCAAAATGTCCAAGAGAATCGAAAACATACGTCCACACATAAACTTGTTCAGGAATGTTCATAGCAGCTTTATTCAAAAGGTGGACACAATCCAAATGGTCATCAACTGATGAATGGATAACAGAATATGGTATATCCATACAATAGAATTATTTGGCCATTAAAAAGAATGAAATACTGACACATGCTATAATATGAACGAGCATTAGGCTAACTGAAAGAAGCCGGACATAAAAGGTCATACAGTGTAATATAAAATATGCAGAAAAGGTAAATCCAGAGACAGAAAGCTGACTGGTGGTTGCCAGAGACTGGGAAAGAGGGAAATGGGAAGTGAATGCTAATGGTACATAGTTTCTTTGTAGGGTGATGAAAATGCTCTGGAATTAAGATAGTGGTGATGGTTACATGACTTGGTGAATACAGTAAAAACCACTGAATTGTAAGGGATAAATGTTATATGTGAATTACATCTCAATTTTAAAAACCTAAAAGTGAAAAAAGCCTAGGTCTGACTCCAAAGCCAGAGCTCTCAAATAGCATTTATATACCGCCACCCTCACCTTTAGGTTTTTCTAATGGACACAATGTATCTTAACATTCGAATTCCTCAGAGATTAGACTACACAAACTAAAACTGAGGCAACCGGTCGTAAGGAAAAACTATGAGTTTTTGCTTCTACCCAACAAATCAGGCCAATGTGTTAACTAACAGCAAGCTATCAAAGTCTCTGCTAGCCATACCTGGTAATAATGTTGCGTGTGTTATCATCCTTTAAGGATGGTTGTATCTTTCAACTACTAGTGGCATAAAATTGAACGTTTTGGTCCCTTCTCTTGTATCCTATATTAATATAAGCTAATTAGAAGGACCTTTTTACTTTAAAGGCCGACAATAATCTTTTCAACTGATGTTTAATGACTTCAGAATGTTCATAATATGTAAGTCAAATAAATAAAACGGAAAACTATATCCACAATTTTGGAGGAACAAAATCTCTTAAAAGGCAAAGAGTAAATGTAACAAGTATTAATAATGATGGAATGGTGGAATTACAGGTAATTACTACATTATTCTTCTCCATGTTTTCTAAATTTAACAAAAAGAACATTTTTAGAATCAGGACAAAAAAAATGTTTTAAATTACGTAATAAACGGACGGACAAAATATGCTAGGGAAAAACTATGAAACACCACTCTTTAGCCTGAAGCTTTGCTTCAAATACCAGTAATTTTTAAAAACTGGCCAAGAATCCTTCCTTCTGAACCTCTCTAGTCCACCCACCCTCAGAAAAAAAAAAAACCACAGTCACATAAAAGGTAGTACAGAACTATACTGATATTAGCAAACTTTTAGAAAGCAACACTTTCTCAACTTCTCAACAGAAAAGTTCAAAGTAAAGAGACTAGAACTAATAATCTGGATACAGCATGCAATAGTGTTTTCAGATATAAATAAAATTTGAGGATTCATTTACCAAAATTATATTTAATCCTGGATCAAGATATGGAGACCAGACTTAAAATAGGATACTGCAGAAGTTGTTGATTTCTAACGGGGGCAGAAATTGTTGATTGCTAACTCAGGCTACATAAGAAATCTAAGGTGGAAACTGGTTACTTTTGAATCGAAACTCAATAATATTCACATAAGTAATTTCCCTGTTACAAATAACAACTGTCAATCAAAAGTTCAGATGACACTAAATTTGATACACTGTGTTGGCTTTTTATTTTTAATTACACTAACTTCAAATGCCATTTTAAAATTACTTAAACTTTTCTAAAAAGTGGATGTAAGAGTAAAATTTAAAACTTCTCCAAAACCATCTGGCAAATCAGACACATTAGCTAAACTGCTATCTTTTAATACACTTTAAAATGGTAATCTCAAAAAGACACTGACTCAAGAAAGCATGAATTTTATCTAAGCCTTATAAAAGAAAAGGAAGCATACATACCTGGCAGAGAACATTAATGTTATAATGTTATAATCACTGACTGGTAATTCTAATACTTCAATAGGGACAGACACCTTAAAAGTGATGTTTTTTATGCTGTCAATCACTCAAAATCAGAGAGAAAACCTAATAATCAGCAAACTTCCAAACCACCTTTTTGCCTATTCATGCACATATCCCTCCTATGTTTATACTTCATTTGATGAGTTAGCGTAAAACTTGACCTTGTGACTCAAAATGTTTTTAATGAAGGAAACCTGGTTTTCCTCAAATTAAAGTGCAAAACAAAAAATGCAAACCTGAGTAATAAAACATCTGACATAAAATGAATACTCCCAAATCATGACTTCTATCCCCTGCACAAATGCAGAAATCAAACACTTTTCCTTTTCCATTTTATTTCAAGTATTTGAAGGTGTGGGGAGGGGAAGGAGAGTGTCTTCCAATATAGTAAATATCACCAGTTGTCAAAGAGCTGATTCCAACTCATAGTGACCCCCACGTGTGTGAGAGTAAAACAGTGCCCCACAGGGTTTTCAAAGGCTGCATTTTCAAAAGTACATCACCAGGCCTTTCTTCCGAGGAGCCTCTGGGTAGACTCCAGTCTCCAACCTTTCAGTTAGCAGCTGAATGTGTTAACTGTTTGCACCACCCAGGCACTCCAGAGTAAATACAGGAAAGCACTACAGCATATTTCTACTTTTCTTCTCTTGCTGAAAGTTTTAGCCATCACAAAACACTAAGAGATGAAAAAATCATTCACGATAAATCTCAAGTAAAAGGACCAACACACAGCATTTTCAGGAACACAACCATGTACTATTTAATCTCTAAGGAACAGGCTGGAAATTTATTTATCACAGTCCAAAGTCCTCCCATTGACTCCAGATCTCTTTTCAGACTTCCAGTTTCAGCCCCTTAAAGCTTAAATACTACCCTTATCCTCCTAAATAATTCTCTGTCCTCCTCATAAATGAAATCTAAGAAACTCTGAAAGAGAAAACATTTTTATGTAGCTTTGTGAATGAATCAGCAATTGTCATTAACTGTGCAGAAGTTGGATTAACAGGGAAGTGAAAAAATAAGTAAATATGTATATCCTATACCTTGAAATATTACAGAAAACTTGCCTTTGAATACTTTTGATGGTAGTAGAGGTCGAAAATAAAGCCACCCCACCACCCTCCAGAAGACAAACTAATGAACCAACAAGTTTCAGTGTTCATATATAGAGGAGCTCCATGGAGCTTAGCTGTGATGTAGAGACTACTCACAGTAGTACTTCGGGGAGAAGCTGCTTACATCACCCAAGTGACAGTCCCTTCTCTCAGCTGAACAAAACCCAACTCTGAAAAGCAAGTTTTTAAAGTCTATTCTCTAGAAGAATTTTTTTAAAAAAGAAACTAACTTCGTAATCATTATTTAACAAGGCTACTCTAAAAATTAAGGAGCCTTGGAGGCGCAGTGGTTAAAGCATTCAGCTACTAACCAAAAGGTCAGCGGTTGCAATCCACCAGCCGCTCTGCGGCAGAAAAATTTACAGCCTTAGAAGCCCTATGGGGTAGTTCTACGCTGTCCTATAGGGTCGCTAAGAGTCGGAATCAACTCGAGGGCAGTAGGTGACAGACTAAAAATTAGCGTCGTGACGTTCAGTTTACTTACTGAAAATTTGTTATTGAGTTTTAATTAGTTTCTAAAAGTTTTTGTGCATTAAACCTTAGCCAGCCAGATAAAAATTAGTCCGAAAACAGAAGAGTAAATCAAATAAGTTTTTGCGAATGACTGAAACAAACACTCAAGGTAAACTCCGTTTTCATGGGGTGAACTTATTAATAATAGGAAAAAAATATGAAGCTGAATCTAGAACAAGACATAGTTGAGCAGAGCGAGCGCTGACGACTCCGGACTCCTCGGAAACCTGGAGTGCTCCCTCGCCACCGGGCTGGGCCCGGTCACTTCCTGCCTCGGCCGGCTCCGGCCCTCGGCGGCCGCTCACTCACACACCATGGGAGTGTGCAGTGTGTGTACACAGAGCGGAAAGAGGGATGCGGAAGGCTGGAACCGCTCTGCCTCCCTCCCGATCGCTGCCGACACCCGGGGAAGAGGGGAGGCAGAACACAGCCTCCGACTGAGCCTCGCCAGTGCCGTCTCCGCCCTGCGAGATCCGAAAGTTCGATTTCCCCACATCCCCGCCCAATCTGGTGGGGCTTTGAATAGGATCAAGGAGAAAGCAAAACCCCGGAGGAGGAAACCTTGCCCGCCGGCATGTCCCGGCCCCTTCGGGCGACAGATGTGTTGCTCATCCTTCAATGCATTTTTCCCCCTTAAGGATTCCTCCCGACCCCCAGCCCACTGCCCCTCCCCCACCACGGCCGGCGGAGGAAAAAACAGGCCCCGAGGCCGCCCTAAGCGTAGAGACCTGGCCTTCCCTCGGCCCCCACTGGGGCCCCACGACGGCTCGCGATCCCTCACTCACCCATCAAAATGCGCATCTGCTTCTTGCCGAAGAGGCGGGAGAAGAGAGAGGAGATGGTGAGACCCATGGCGGCAGCGGCACTTGCGATGGGCAGGAGCAGAAGGGGCTTCGGGCGTCCCCGGGCCTTTTCCTTTCACACTCCCGGCAAACTGAGCCAGAGGGAAGAGGAAGAGCTGAGGAAGAATGAGAGCGGCAGGGACTGCTCGCCGGCCGGCGTGTCGGACGAAGCTTCGGGACCGGGACAGAAATTAGCGGGACGAAGACCTACTCGACGACTGGCGCGGCAGCTCAGGCTCCAGTGTTAAAGCTCTGGTTGTGCCACGTCACGCGGCAGCCGCGACGACTTCGGCGGCGACCCGGCCCCTCCAACGCGGACAGAATCGCGTCACCGCCGCCCCATCCCCCTGCGCTTCCGGCGCTGCCCGAGTCACTGCGCCTGCGCACGCACGGGATTGGCCGGCTACACTGACGTGATTCTCTCGCCGCCGCAACCTCCCCGACGTGGCTGTTGGAACGGGGCGAGGCCAGTAGACGCATGCGTAGTAGGAGACGGGCGCAGTCGCACAATGCCTCGTTTCGTTACTTCCTATCAGACTCAAGGCAAGATACTTCCGTCCAGGTGAATGTATCTTGGGGGCTGTAGTCTTTTCTTCCAAAAGGGCGAGCTGTGTATTATCGGTTAGGTAGTGAGACTCCTTCTGTCGACTTTTTGGGTTTTTTTCTTTTAACGCTACGCAGTTTGATACATGCACGCCTCATTCTCGGGGCCTGACGATTGCCCTACTGGAGGGTCGGCCCTGACTTCTGCGGAGATACTTGGTTAAAAGCCGACGTGGAAATGGAGAGGTTGTGTCACCCGATTAAGAAGCTAGGCCTGGACTCTTGGACTCCTACTCCAGGTCACACTGAAGATCCCTAAGCCTATATCAGGACAAGAGAGCTCGAAGACCTCTTCATTGGCTATTGCAGTTTTTTAAGAGAAGCCAACGAGGAAGACTTGCTTTTCTTGTGCCTTTTCTCCTGTAAAAGCATGAAAAATTTCTTCTTAGTGTTGAGGAAATGGAAAATCTCCTCACTTTAAAAATATTTATGAGCTTATTGTTTCCTGATTACAAAATATACATCACGAAAAAAATATATTTAAAAAATGTTCCCCTAAAACCATTCCCGAGGCCAACTTTTCAAAGATAAGACTGGACTATGAGACATAAAATGATACTCGTGAAGAGTGTGCTTCTTAGCTCAAGTAGATACATGAGACTAAATGGGCAGCTCCTGTCCCAAGGTGAGATGAGAAGGCAAAGAGGCTCAGGAAGAGTGTGCTGTCACAGTATAGGGAGAGCAATTAGGGTCACATAACAGTGTAGGTACAAGTTTTTGTATGAGAGACTAACGTGAATTGTAAACTTTCACTTGAAGTACAATTAAAAAAAAAATCCCTATAATCTTTGCTGCCTCCCACATATTTCCTCCACACTGTGCAGTTTGAAATTAGTAGTTCCCGCTTCTCCCAATCCTTACCTTTACCCCACCCTTCAGCTCTTTTAAAGATTAACTCCCTTGAAGTTAAAATACTTTACAAAATATTCAACAAAATACTTTCTTTAGTTATCTTACATTTAATCTTATTTATTCTTGACAACCCCCCCCCCCACCCACACGCACACACACACACACACACTTCTGAAAACTCCAGGAAGGCTGGAACCTTGTCTGTTTTTATATTCCACTGTATTCCCTGGACTTGGTACACCTTGAACACTGAATAAACATAACTGAATGATAGGAGAATGGGTGAATAAACAATAGGTATATTGATACTGTGGAATAATACTAGGAGTTAAAAAGAATGAACTCGTTGCCGTGGAGTCAATTCCAACTCATAGCGACCTTATAGGACAGAGTAGAACTGCCTCATACGGTTTCCAAGGAGTGGCTGATGGATTCAAAGTTGCCGACCTTTTGATTAGCAGCCGAGCTCTTAACCACTGTGTCACCAGAGCTCCAAAAAGAATGATGTAAAACTATACATTCTAATGAAAAGGTCTCCAAGAAGCAATTAGTGGAAAAAGGGTAACTTATGAGTAAAACCAAAGAAACCCATTGCAGTGGAGTCAATTCCGACTCATAGCGACCCTATAGGACAGACTAGAACTGCCCCATAGGGTTTCCAAGGCTATAAATCTTTACGGAAGCAGACTGCCACATCTTTCTTCCACTGAGCAAGTGGTGGGTTCCAACTGCAGACCTTTTGGTTAGCAGCCAAGCACTTTAAGCACTGCAGCACCAGGGCTCCATATTATGACTACGTACTGTATTGTAAAAATACAGATTTCCCTGCTGTGTGTGAATTTGAAGTAATAACCTGCAATAGTGGTAATAACTGGTTACCTGTTTAACGTGTGTGATGAGGAGGGAGCCTTCCCAGGGAGTGATTTTGGAGCCCTGGTGGTGCAGTGGTTGAAGTGCTCAGCTGCTATCCAAGAGGTCAGGAGTTTGAACCTTCCAGCCACTTTGCAAGAGAAAGATGTGGCAGTCTGCTTCCATGAAGATTACAGCCTTGGAAACCTATGGGGCAGTTCTACTTTGCCCAATAGGGTCTCAATTGACTCCAAGGCAGTAGGTTTTTAGTCAAAGAAGAACTTTATCTGTGTTTTTAAAAATCGACTTTATTGAGATATAATTTACATGCAATAAATTTACCAATTTTAAGTGTATGATTCAATGAATTTTGACACATACACAGTAGTGTAACCACCATAATCATGATATAAGCATTTCCATTACCCCAAAAAGTTCCCTCATGCTCCCTCCCCTGACTTTCAGACCCTGGCAAACCACTTATCTGCTGTCACTATAGTTTTGTCCTTTCTAGAACTTCATATAAATGGAATCATACAGTATGAAGACTTTTTGGTCTGACTTCTTAGCATGATTTTGAGATTCACCCATGTTATTGCATGAATCAATGGTTCCTTTTTATTGCTAAGTAGTATTCCAGTATATGGCTATACCACAATTTGTTTATCCATTCATCAACTGCTGGACATTGGGTTTTTTTAAGTTTTGGGTATTATGAATAACATTGCTATGAACATTTGAGTACAAATATTTGTGTATCTGCATTAATTTATTTTTACAAGACGAATTTATTCATGCATTATTTATATAATTTACAAAACTTAGAACTTGATGAATGAATTAATGACTGTTTGGCATATACTCTTCCAGATTTTTCTAAAATACTAACATCTATATAAACTTTCATGGGATTTTACACTGCTAAGCAACTCCTTTTTCAATTTAATGAACTGTGGACCTCTTTGAATATTAGTGCTTATAGATTTAACTCATTCTTTTTAAAGGCTGCATTACACTGTATGCATCTAAAAGAACTTATTTAACTGGTCTGTCAAATTGTAAAATATGCATACTCTTTGATCCAAAAATGCTGCAAAATGGAAGAGTATGTTCGGGTTCATGCAAGACCCACAACTTACTCCACATCCAGGAATTTTTAGTAATAAAAATTTCCCTCAAGTTTGCTAGGCTATATCTGTACGGTTTTCAAACAGTGTTCATTACAGTATTGTTTGTAACAGAAAAATGAAAATACCTGTTTTTTCAAACAAATTTTTAAATTCCCTTTTTTTCCCCCTCACTGACCACTAACCCAGATATTCCCATTTTGCTTTTGCTTTCCTACAGTTTTCGAAATCCCTAACAATGATACATTAAGGCTGTAATTACACTCACAGCCAGGTGCAGTCGTTTCCTAGGGCTGTCGTAACATACGGAACAGACTTGGTGCCTTGAAACAGCAGCGATGTATTCTCTCACAAATCTGGAAGCTGGAAGTATGAAATCAAGTTGCTATCATGGCCATACTCCCTCTGAAGCTTCTAGGGGAGGATTGTTCCCTGCCTCTTCCAGCTTCTGGTAGCCTCGTGTTCCTTGGCTTGTGGCAGCATAACTCCAGTCTCTGTCTCGCATTGCCATTTCCCTCTCCATGTCTCTTTTTCTCTTCTCTAAGGCCCACCCTATTCCCAGTGGAACTCATCTTTACTAATTCTTTCTGCAAAGAATCTATTTCCTAATAAAATCACAAAGGTCATATTTATTCCATTACTTAATATGGCCCTTCTAGCCAGTCTTTGTAACTCCCACCAAATGACTGTGTGGGACTATGCAAATGAGGTGCTCATGGCCCACCAAGGGATTGGATACCTTGCTAATAATGTAAATAAGGTGCGTGGCACCCTTGTGGGGGTGGGACCATGCAAATAGGGTGTATGGAACCCTAATGAGGGGATTGGTCAGTTTTGCCATCTCACTTGGCTTAAAGGGAGACACAGCAAGAGAGGAGCTGTAACATGGAAGACAGAGATAGTGCCACGAGAAGGCAGGAACCAGGAGACAGGCGAAAGATGGCTGCGATGGGGCTTGCTGACCCACGTCATGAAGAGGTGTTAACACTTGCCCAAGAAGGCCCCCAGCAGGGCCTGGGGGCAGAGGACGAGAAGACGCTGTCCTGATCGAGGTACTGCATCCTGAGTTGTTCCTGTTGCTTCCAAGTTGATCCTGATCCCGTGTTGTACCGTTACTTCCATAATAAACCACTTAACTGTAAGTACAGTTCGTGAGTTCTGTGAGGCGTTGCAGTGAACTACTGAAGCCAAAGACAGAAGGGAAGGTATTGTGGGGACGGAGATAGCTGATGTTAGAGGTGATGGAGTGGTACAGCAGTTTGGAAACAGTGGACATTTGGGACATCTTTAAACTGCACATCATAGGAACCAGCTTTGTGCCGATTCTTATAAAAGAAATTAATCGCTTAGCTATCCTACGCGTTCTGCAGTTGCTCATTCAAACTGATGCATTTCTGTAGGATACAGCTGAGTAAGAAAAACCTACAAAGTTTAAGAGAGTAAGTCATTTCATGTTGTTGAAGGCCTACTGAGTAAAGCTCCTTTTGGTAGAGCTACCCTTCAGAAGCTGTTGCTTCTCTGGAGTGGCCCTGAGTAATCCAGTAAAAACTTAACTCAGGTTAATCGATGAGGTAAAGCCATATATTGACAACAATGGAGTTTACTCTTTTTCCCCTCAAAAGTTCCAGTAATAACATTCTTAAGCAAGGTTAATTACGTGTTAAATATACAACATTTCAAGAACATAAGGGAAACGCAAAGGAACCCTTAAGTTTCCTAATTAACCTGTGGTGCAGTGAATTACTTAATATGGCCCTTCTAGCCATAGCCTTTGTGAGTCCCATAAAGTGATTGGGTAGGACTGTGCAAATAAGGTGTTTGTGACCCA